CATCCATTTTCTTCCTCTTATCCGGGGTCGGGTCGCGGGGGTAGCAGCTTAAGTAGGGAGGCCCACACTTCCGTCTCCCCAGCCACTTGGTCCAGCTCCTCCAGGGGAATCCCGAGGCGTTCCCAGGCCAGCCGAGAAACATAGTCCCTCCAGCGTGTCCTGGGTCTTCCACTGGGCCTCCTCCCAGTGGGACATGCCCGGAACACCTCGCCAGGGAGGCGTCCAGGAGGCATCAAAAACAAATGCCCGAGCCACCTCAACTGGCTCCTCTCGACGTGGAGAAGCAGCGGCTCTACTCCAAGTCCCTCCCAGATAACTGAGCTTCTCACCCTGTCTCTAAGGGAGAGCCCAGACACCCTGTGGAGAAAACTCATTTCGGCCGCCTGTATACATGATCTTGTTCTTTCGGTCACAACTCAAAGCTCATGACCATAGATGAGGGTAGGAACGTAGATCGACCGGTAAATTGAGAGCTTCGCCTTTTGACTCAACTCTCTCTTCACCACGACAGACCTGTACAGCGCCCACTTCACTGCAGACGCTGCACCTATCTGCCTATCGATGTCACGCTCCATTTTTCCCTCATTCGTGAACAAGAACCCGAGATACTTAAACTCCTCCACTTGGGGCAGGACCTCCTCCCCGACCTGGAGAGGGCACTCTACCCTTTTCCGGCTCAAGACCATGGCCTCAGATTTGGAGGAACTTACCCTCATCCCGGCCGTGTCACACTCGGCTGCGAACCGCTCCAGCGAAAGATGTAGATCATGACCTGATGAAGCCAATAAGACCACATCATCTGCAAAAAACAGAGAAGCAATCCTAAGGTCAACAAAGTGGATCCCCTCAACACCTTGGCTGCGCCTAGAAATTCTGTCCATAAAAGTTATGAACATAATCCTGACAAAGGACAACCTTGGTAGAGTCCAACTCTCACTGGGAACGAGCCCGACTTACTGCCGGCAATGTGGACCAGGCTCTGACACCGGTCATACAGGGACCTAACAGCCCATATCAAAGGGTCTGGTACAAAATACTCCCGGAGCACCCTCCACAGGGCTCCCCGAGGGACACGGTCGAACGCCTTCTCCAAGTCCACAAAGCACATGTAGACTGTGTAGTGAACTTAACCTGATGTCAAGACTAAGCCTAAGGTCAAAACCCTTGACCTTA